GAGAAAGAAAGAGAGCCTAAACGATTGAGGTTGAAGTAGTGCATGGTAATGTGACTGAGACGTTATTTGGACTGACAGAACTGGTGCAAGCAACAGTAATTTTTTACAAAAATTAATTAGTGACAGTCAACTTTCAACCTGTTATGGGTTTCTCTTGGAAGTGAGTAATTTGCAATTAAAAACTTCTTGGAGCGAGCAATGGACCAGATCTACAAGGGATGCGATTACTTTTTTATCACATTTCTAACGTGTGAGCATGTTTTAGCTGGAAAACAGAGCAAAGGAAAAGGAAGGTGGGTGAAGTTTCCCTCCAGCTCACTTCATTTTGGCTTTTCCTTTTTGTCCTATCTTCCACCATTGACCAACGACCCTGTTCAGAGGCTAAATACAGGGAAGAAATGGTGAAAAATGAAACATGTGCAGAAGTATGACTTTATTATTCCTTGTCAGGTGGTCTTGATCAACAATAAAATTCCAATACCGGTGACTGTTCGGGGGGGCGGGGAGGGGGGAAATGGAGACTGGACTCAAGAGAGTGGCAGAAATAGGCCATTTCAGAGTTGCCTTTTGCCTCTGTGTCAAAACGAGTCTTCGTGCCAAACCACTGACATGGAAATGTGTTCCACTTGCATGTTCATTTTCATGCAAATCAAATTCATTTTCATATGAAAGGTTTTCAAAAAAAACTTGTCTTGAAACAGAGGCACAACTCAAGGTAACTTGGAAATGGCCTATTGAGCTAAACAGTAATTTTATATAGAATGGATAAAGTCTGCTCCAATCTTATGTGACTAGGAACATTACTACTAACCCTGGATGGGATGTTATTCAATAACAGGTAGTTTGGTGGTATATGTCAGGTTTCTCCAACAATTTTCTAGTAATAATAATTGAAAGGAGAGAGGGGCACTGTCGGAACTCAAGAACAGTACACTTTATACCAACTTACATCCCTGGTATAGTTTAAAGCTGGATAACCCTTGGGTAGTTAATCACATTTTATTCTGGGGCCAAAATGGGGAAATATACATATTTTAACACCTTTAGTTGAATATGAAAATGATATGTTTAGTCAGTTACTACTGAAATGAAAAACAGTTTAAGATCAAAACTATCAATTTTATTTGGTGAAAAACACTATAAGAATTTATTTGCTTTACTACACCAAAATAGTTAAAATCCAGCAACTTGCTATCCCTTTGAGCCACTCAATAAATTACAATGAACTTTTACATCAACCTGTGTCAATTTAAGCATTGGATTTTTCTGTATAATCGACTTGTGATGCCCACTCTACAAAACCTCCAGGATAATGTTTTGCCCTAAAAAAAAAA